TCGGACCGATACCGGACAGCATGAGCAATTGCGGCGATTGTATAACGCCAGCTGATAAAATGACCTCGCGTTTTGCTGTGACTGTATAGCTGATCAGGCCTACTCGAAATTTGACGCCATATGCTGTCTTTGAATCGTCGTCTGCAACAATGAAAACATTCACACATCAAACAAAATATTTGTTTACAGATAAGTGACATACTGGCACTAGATCTTAAATTGAAATTAATGTTGGAATGGAAACCATGTTATACTTGAAAGAGTTTGAGTGTGTATGGAGATGTTGAATGTTCTTGGAAGTTGTCTAAAGATGTTTGAAGACCTGTAAAATGTTGCGTGACCGTTTTGGAAACAGCAGACGTGTTGACTCGATGTTTAATTAATAATGGTACTGGATCGAAAAGCATACGATAGCGTTTGAGTATATCTAATTGGTTGCCTAAAATGTATAAATTAAACTGTGTCGATTTAAATAAATCATAAGATGAAATGAATTTTCCATAGGTAGTGTGAATGAAAGCATTTGAGGGACAAATTCCAGCAATTCCAATATATAATTTCAAGTTTACGGGCATGAGGTGTGTAGTACGTGTGTATATAATGTATGCCTGTAATGTATATTTAGTGCTTTCTCTTGTCAAAGCTGAGAGATAAACCATGTAGACCTCGAAATGACATGCAACTAAGTATCAGCTAATACAAGAAATGCGAAAGAATGGTAAGACACTAAAGTTAACCATTCACAACCACACATTAGTCGCACACGAATATCGTTCTTCATCTGTCATTGTGTTATACGCTGTGTATAATATTTATTGTTCAGATGACTATGAATGTAAAATTCTGCATGCAGTTCCTTAAAATTCATATTGTTGTGCGTAGGAGCTGTGTAAGATTAACTTAAGCTAAGAATACGATGCGACATGATGCGTTGTCTGTGCAGCCTGCCGTTAATTGCCAATTGCTGTCGGCAAACTGCCGACAACAAGTATGAGTGTGATTTATTGTCGTTTATTATATCGGCCTATATCTGAAATCAGGTACAGTACAGTACATGGGTCCCGTACAGCGGCGTGAGGCGTCTACCAAGTGAATATACATATATACACGAACGTACAAGAACAACCGAAATGAATGTCCCGGGTTACCCAAAAAAGCTATAAACGGAAGCATCCAGAAATTCTAAAGCCAGCCTCTTGCACAAGAATATGTAGACAATTTCCAACAAGCCTAAATTACAATATAATCCCTTAAAAACATAACTAAAATATTCGAAGTAACATGCCTTCGCTTATCAGAATCTTCTCCACAGTCGAGAGTATGCTCACATCCAGATTTTTCCTCTTGGAAGCAGACCGAAGGAAAGCTTTCGCAGTACTGCATCGTAACCCGTCTCTCAAAGTACCCTGGGAAATGGTGACCCCGGTTTGAGTAGGTCCATTGACATCCAGGACATCGTATCCTAGTTCTGTGGTAGCCTTTACCAGATACTTGGTCATGGGAGTTTGGTACCTGAAGTGCTCAACGGTCAAGTAACCGCCAGTGTGGTGATAAGGCGAATTTTGGTATTCTTCAATCCTCATGTCTTCGGACTTCTTAAAATAAGGCAGCACACTGTCGTAGTCCCAGCCTGGATTTCCCTCTTTTTCCCAGTTGTCGTAGTCTTTCTTGTTGCCACGGATATAGAGCATTGCGTTCAGCACACTGCTACCTCCGAGAACCTTGATTTTCAGAGTTTGAGTACATGTCAGCATAATTTCTGAAGGCTTATATAAGGTTCGACGGGCTTAATTAATTTTATGGTGTTTGCGAAGGAATTTGGGATACTTAAACGTTCGTTGGGCTGTATCTTGTATAACAATTTGAAATAGGTAATAGTCATAACAAATAAACCCCGCTAACTTAGGGCAAAATATATCAGACAATGCTTCATTTTAAATAGAAACATTTATTTTACGTTTATATTCGGTGTTCAAATCAGTTTTGGTCGTTCTGTTCTAAGCTTCAGATTCGATTTATGGAAATATAAAAATGTCTATAATTATTTAAACAATACCCATTACATTTGCCGACCTTCCTCCACTTATGACAACTGATACATGTCGTTAGTAAAAAAAAAACTGCACGGTTTCGAATCGGCAAAGTTGTCGATGCATTTTGTAATGTTTTCAACATTGATGTAATGCGTGTCCGCTGGGAAGTGATGCAGTGGTCGAAGCACTTGACTTAAACCTCATCTAATATTATGTGCACTCGGCTACACGATAATTACTTTTGATCAAAAGGTCTACAATTGACCGGAAAATACTATCTGTATAAAGTAATCAGTTAGGAAAAATATGTGCTTAGGTATCTTTACAGTAACTTTAAGTGTCTATGTTTTCGAAACGAAAGAAAATTTGTTTCAGCGATGTCTTAAACTCCCTCTTATTTTGCATGTACTGTATCATATAAAATATATCATTGAATAAAGTTGCGGATATAAGCCGTAAAATGCACAGTTTAGAATTATTTATCTGGAAGAAATTTAAAATCAAGACACTACATGAATTTAATTGTAGTTATCAGTATTGTAGAGTACATTTTCCAATTGGAAATAAAAACTCTGCAAATAGCCATATCTTCGCGATTAAAATATGAAAGAACTAACTAAACCTAACTGATATTGTCTGAGATATAATTTCTCGAGAGACATTTACTTTCATAATATTCATACATTAGGTAGCTCTATTTTTCAAGCGAATGCTACCCTCGGTAATTGAAGTCTTGAATTCTACCTTATTCTGTATGTATAACAAAATACAATTTTTAATTTTCAACAAAATGGTTCATATTAACAGCGCAATGAAGCGATTTGCTCTCAGTGACGTCACTGCAAAATATTACAATGCAGTCGGAAATAATTTTACGTCTCGACATCTTCTTATCGTTAAGATGAATTTGTGAGTCATTCATATGCCACACAAAAATGGATTCACGAACTACTTTCACGCATTTTCCTAAGAAAAGTGTGATTTACCAAAATTAAATTACTCTCACAACTTTATACTTGAACGAAATAAAATACAGATTTGATATATCTTGAACGTGGACATTACTATATCAACAATTTTACCCTGCCACGCGGCCAGTTGCACTGCTGCTTGTACATTGCCTGACAATAGTTGTTCGACGATTCAGTTTTGAATTGCCAGTCCAGAGGGGACAATTGCAGAATCGGACACATCGCAGGCACATCAGAGAGTTCCGGTTCATCCGGCCCAGCTTCCACCAGGAGCACCGTCCAATTTCCATTCTCTGACAGCCGATTGGCTATCACTGATCCAGCTGATCCAGCTCCAACCACCACGAAATCGTACTCATTTCGCAGATTTAGCGGCGACACGGGTTTCACTCTATTTTCACGATCCGCAATGTCTGGTCTGAATAGTACGATCAGTAGTTGCAATAAAATGATGAGACGCGCTTCGAACAGGAGGGTAGCCCCTACCCTAATAGTTGAAACCCAACCTGCTAGTGACATGTCGATCGGCACACTATTGTAGACCTGTTTAACTACTTTCCCGTGAGGGCAGCGATTTTATATCCAGGGCAAACACCAATCGGCGGGCTATTTTGCCCACTTCCGATGGCAACACTATTTCTTCCTTAGCTTTTCGTGGGTCTCCTCTCCATTTAACTACATTTTACATTATTGGCTGAAGATAATGGCAGAGTTCGACTGTAGATAACGTCGAATTTGAGTGAAATAGAATGAACGTCGAACATTTTACATATAACGGCAATGGGTGCGAGTGAGAGAGGTAGAATAGCATGAAAACCTTCCCCCTTTTTTTCTCACCACCCCACTCCGCTAAGTCGCTTCCTCGTAGCTTCGCCTCGCAGCTTTGCTCTCAGCCCGTGGATTTGCCCAATGCCCGCTTCAAAGCATGTTGAAGAGCTCCGCACTATAGTCTCGTTGTTGCAGCTGTTGACATCTCGATCGACACATTATATTGTCCCTATTAACACTGTGCCGTCCGGTGGCACCACGCTGGTGCCATGTAAAAACTATCTGTTGTATGCCGGTGGTGCCACTTTGATGTCATTTTAAAAAACTAAAATAACATTTGAACTATATTTCTTGGGTGTTAAAAGGCAGCAAACTAACTATTGCATAGTGCTTATTTAATTAAGAATTAAGTACGAAAATTCTTGGATGGAATGTCTTAATTTTAGGAATTTATATTACCGCTATCTTCGAAATTTTTGTTTAAATATAAAATTTCCAAGCTATTATGCCGACGTCAAACTTAAGAATCATATCTAAGATCTACGGAGGTCATGGTGTTAACAGTCTAAATTGTATAGTTGTTCTGAAAAAATATTGATGCGATAGTCCATACCTTGCTAATTCAAATAGAAAAAAAAGAATGAAAAATGAATATTTGTATGTACATGTTTTTGAAAATATTTGCAAAAGTTATATGAACACAGACTTAATAGTGATTGTGAATGGTTTCTTGGCATAATTTCTCTCAGTATAAAAATATGTATGCATTACAGCAAAGCTTTCTACTTAAAAGTAGAAAATAATCACCATAAGCCGAGAAATAGATTTCAAAATTAAAATCATTAAGTGTAACCCGTTTCCGTTGAAGTAGGCAGAATTTGATGATTCGTATCTTTTATCGCGAAGTCAACAAAGCGACAAGTGAAGTCTTCCTTAATGTTACATCTGCTTTATTGTGAAATATTAGTTGCGTTGTAATTAAAATCCCTTGGTTGAAAATGTTCAAACGCATATGGAAAATAGTAGAAAAATGGAAAATACATAATCGATTCACACCCGCAGATATTATTTCACTTTTTACTTCTACAGTTGCATGAATCCATAGCATCTCGTGATACAATATAATGCATCCTGCAAGATAAAAACTAGGTTTCCATTGCAAAATGAATCTCCAATCGAATTCGTCTCCCGATATCCGATTAGACACTTCATAACTGGTCTATAAAGTCTTATATTGTAAAGCCTTATATAATTATGGCGGATAGAAATACTTTTATACTGGCTCTGAAACTCATATGTTACGAGCCGAGATCCAGGTAGCTTCGCATGGCCGGTAGTAGGATGCGATTTTCAAATTTTGATGAAAGGGAATTGCGTGGACTAGCCGATGTTTCTTTC